TATCTTCTTAATACTGTTTTTCCTCTTCCTCTCCCATCAGCATTTTTTCTTGCTGAAAAAACTCTCCTTCCCAATACTTTTACCACTTTAGGGCAAGAAATGTAGATGTTTGCCCATAGGTAGTTGCAATAAGTGAGCATGAATGGAAGATCCTGACTTCTAAAAGGCCACTCCAGGCAGGATCCATCTGGCCGCATTCTGCACACATGCAAAAGTGCACATTCTGCAAAAAGTGCAAATGTCTAGCACATTTCTTTTGCAAGCATCACAGGGCAATCAATGGCCAACCGCAGTTGTCTCTTCCAGCATTCATTTTTAACACTGAATTATTGCTTCTGCCATGCAATCCCCAGTATAGGTAGTAGGAGCACATCCAGGAGTATTTCTGACAATGAACCAGTTGTACACTGTTAGTAAGGATTAAACATGCACACAATTTGCGTAACAGCCATGTGAGAGCTCTGTACAGGTTCTTCAATCTGGTGCAAGGCAGAAACGGTCCCTTAGCATAAAATCTCACTGGCTCAGCTATCTGAAAAAGGCCCAGATTGCACAGCACAAGGGTCCTTTGAGTCCCTGAAACATTAAAAGGAAGTGGCTGATCCTCACACAAGCAGCTCATCTGGGTTTCTTGCTGTCTCTGCCCCAAAGCTAACGGCTACTCATTCATTCCAGTAGATTAGCATGTCCCTAATTTCTTCATAATGGGGAAAGAAGAAGCTGTCTCCCTGAATGCCTTTTGTAGTTCACAAACTCAGCACTCAACATCCACTGGAAATTAAATCTGGAAAAACAATAAATTCCCTTCAAAGGCGTTACGCCGCAAGGGAGTTACCCAGAAATCCAGAAACCAGACTGTCATTAGGCAGTGGTAAGAACAGCTGCTTGGAAGGGAGTCATCTCAGTAGCCTGCCTGGCTTGTGCACGGGGCTTAATGAGGACAAGGCCGCTATATATTTGTCAAAGCATCCCAGTTGCAGCCAAAGATGCCAGCAGCCAGTGGGACACTGCTTCTGTGGGCCACTGTGCAAAACAAAAGACGGGCAAGGGAAGGAGTGTCACTGCGAGGGAGTCTGTGAGGCATCACATCTGGACAGGGCGGGGACAGACCCATGGGGCAACACTCGTGCCAAGTCAGATGTGGGTGGAAACGTGACTATGCAGAGGTACTTTGAATGCACGATCTCAAGGTAACTGCACTCAAGCAAAATGAATTTGGGGGCAGAGAAGCTAGAAGGCTGTGAAATGGGGCTTTAGTGAACAATATGGCAAACCTTAGTTTGCTTTATTTGCTTTATTGACTAATTAATTATATTTATACCCCACCTTTTCCTAGCCAGATGGCTTCTATAATCTCCCTCCTCCTTTCCTTTTGCTCTTAATAACCCTGTGAGGTAGGTTACTGTTCTATGACTCCATGATGCAAAGTCTTCCAGTGAGCTTCATTTGTGTGTTTGTTTGTTTGTTTGTTTGTTTGTTTATTTATTTATTTATTTATTTAAAGCTTTTACATCCTGCCCTTCACAATGTCTCAGGATGGTAAAGCTTCATGGCAGAATGAGGACTAGACCCCGGATTTCCCAAGACCCAGTCCAATATTATCTGACTACTTGCAATACGAACTGAAATGAGATTATGATGAGTGAACTACTTCTGGAGGCTTGCTGCCCCCACCCCACTCCCAGTAGCTGGTGCTCATTAACTTTAGTTATTTGCATTTCTGCGTTGTGATTCTTGTTCCTCTTTTTCATGCAAAACAAATTTCCTTCCCTGTCCTACCTGTGTGTGCATGGACACCTCTCTCCCCCACCACCCCCCATGTGCAACTCTCCATGTGTGTAGATGTATACACATTAGGAAATACATATTTCATTGGGTAAAGAAATCCAAGTCATAACAGTTTAATTTATTAATCAGTTAGTTCTGCATACTTTTTCATCAGATTAAAAATACCTTTAAATAAATAAAAAATATTTCCCTCAGCTTAGATGACACATGCATATGCCAGAAGATGGAAGATGACGGGAGAAGGGCTAACATTGTCCCTGTCGTCAAAAAGGGGGAAAAGATGACCCTGGGAACTACAGACCAATTTTCCATTAATCACTGGAAAAATTATGGAGAAAATAATTTAAAAAATCAGTCTGCAAGCATCCTGAAGAAAACGCAGTGATTAATAGAAGTCAACCTGGATTTATCAACATTTAATCCTGTCAGACTAACTGAATCTCATTTTTTGACTGGGTAACCTCCCAGTTGGACAGAGGGAACACTGTGGACATAATCCACTTTGATTTTAGCAAAATTTCTGCCATAGCGCCCCACAACATTCTAATAAGAAAATTAACAAAGGTGGACTAGATAGAAACAGCCAAAATTGGCTGCTGAATCAGACACAAAGACTGCTCATCAAAGGCACCTTCTCAAATTGGATAGAGGTAACTATTGGGGTACTACAGGGTTCTGTCCTGGGCCTGGTGCTCTTCAACATCTTTATTAATGATTTGGATGAGGAAGTATAAGATAATCAAAGAAAGATAATCAAATTTGCAGATGATGCAAAACTGGGTGGAATAACAAACACCCTAGAAGACAGGATGAAGATCCAAGGCGATCTTGATAAACATGAACACCGGGGAGAAACAACAGAATGAGATTCAATAAGGACAAGTGCCAGGTCCTCCACCTGGAAAAAAAAAACCAAATGCATCGATCCAAGATGGGGAATATTTGACTCAACAGAAATGAAAAAAAAATCTTGGCGTAATTGTGAACAATAGCCTAAATTTGAGCCAAAAATGTGATGCAAGTGCAAAAAGGGCAAATGTTATTTTGGGATGCATTGACAGAAGTATTACATCCAAATCACAAGAAGTAGTAGTTCCCCTATACTCCTCACTAGTCAGACCTCATCTAGAATACTGTGTCCCATTCTGGGCCCCAAGATTTAAGAAATATGCGGAAAAAATAGAAAGGGTCTAGAGGAGGGCAACAAAAATGATCCAGGGTTTGGAAATACTGCCCTGTGAGGAGAGACTGAGAGAACAGGGCATGTTCGGCCTTGAGAAGAGAAGACTGAGTGGGGACAAGATATCCCTCTAGAAGTACCTCAAAGGCTGTCGCAAAGAAGAAGGTCAAGATCTCTTCCTGCCGATGCCAAAGTGCAAAACACAGAAAAATCAATTCAACTTGTGACAGCCCAGATTCAGGCTAGAAATCAAGAAAAGTTTCCACACTGTCAAGCAATATGATGGTGGAACCAGCTGCCTAGAGAGGTGGAGGGCTCTCCCACACTAGAGACACTCAAAAGGAAACTGGGCAGCCATCTGAGTGGGATGGAGTAACATGGTGTCCTGCAACGGCAGGGGGTTGGACCTGATGTCCTTCATGGCCCCTTCCAACTCTGCTCTTCCATGATTCTATGATTCTATGCCTCGCTAGAGATGCCACAGTAAATGCACCCATTGAAGTGGGGTGAATCTCTTACAAAACAGGCGGGGATCATGGTGGGAAAGGATCAGATCTATGAGCATGTGGAGGGTATCAAGATCCGTTTCCCTTCTGAACCAACTGAGAGCAACAGAACTGGGCATGGAGATCTCTCTGGGGGCTGCTGAACATAAGACATTTCTTTGGGGTCTTTAAAAAATACTACAAGTGACATACCTAGTGCAGCAGGAACTTTCCCCCTAAGGAGAAGCATCCCCCTTTCCCTTTCTCCCATTGTATAGTGGAGCCAGGGCTCACTGGGGTGCAGCACTCACTGTTTTTTACTAGCAGCAACAGTGATTCACCCGCCAGCGCCAACCCACTAGAACACCTGCTCCTTCAGAGCTTAGCTGCAGTTCTCAAAGGAGCTGAGAGGTGTGATGAATTTCCCAAGCAATTATGTATTGTTCCTGCAACAGTGCAATTTAGCAGGCACCTATTCTTGAATGGACAAGATCTTCACAAAAGACCATCTCCTGGTGAAGATGAAAATTGCTGGAACAGTTCAGCTGGTGTGGATCAGTTCCCATGTCTGAATTATTGGATTTGGGAGTGTCTGCGCATCAAAATTTACCATGGTACTTTCTTTTGTACAGTGAGACAGAGTGTGCCATGTGCTTTTTTTCTATAATACACACTTCCGGGTCTTCTTCATGGTTCCTGCTTCATGCATTATGCCACGCAAGCGCAACTGGGGAAGAGACAAAAGCATCCATGCAACCCAGACCTCAATGTCCCCACACAGCCCCACAGATCTTTGTGCACAATGCTCAAAGATCGAAAAGGAGGTTGTAAGCATGCTTTCCTGAATAAACTGCTCATGATGGGGAACTCTGATATGCCGCCACATCATCCTCTCACATTGTGCTCGTATTGTAGGCAAAAGTCCGAATGGCTTTTAAGTAGCTGTATAATGTCAGTACAAACCCAATATATCAAATGTTTCACACCATCAGCTATGCTAGCACTAATAGCTGATACCGATAGCAAACAGAGTCAGTCCAGCTTTCTGAGATTTCACTGCACCTCTATTGTCATTGGTTCCCATTCATTTTAATCTCTTTTCCTTTGTTCACTTCATCTATCTTCCCCCTCTTATGAAAAGCAGAGGTTGCAAATAGGCTGTTCTTGGATTGTGGATTGTCATTATGTGTGTGGGACTTAGGAGTTACTAGATGTACAGTGAAAGGCTCTCCTGGAATGCACATCCCAAGGAATTCAGTGGGACTCACTCCTCAGAACGAGTGCAGGATTGGATTCTAAAATGCAGAAAATGCTGGGGACAACAGGGAAACTTTAATCAGGAGCTGTGAAGATAGCAATGTGTGGACAACAGGACGACAGGAGCAGCATTCCGGAGCTGAGCAACTACCAGGGAAAAGGGCCTTTCTCTTGTGGCCATTCTTGGAGTCTCAGAGTGCTAGTCCCTATGCACACCAAGGGAAACGCATCATTCATTCATTCAATGTGCAAGGTATACAATAAGAAAAGAGAGCAAAACAGCCACTTACTTTCCCTGAGGTAACTGAGGTGTGACAGCAAAACTTCCGTATTGTAGAGGGAAGTGGTCCGGAGGAAATCATCCTTGTTCATCTTGCACAATTCCTTGCCATCCATATTTTGGAAGAGGTTGGTATCAATCTCCATTAAGCCATATTCCTTTATAGCCCACTCCAGCCATTGACGTACATGTTCCTGGGACCATAATGTGGGGTCTATCAGAAGAAAAAAAGAGGGGAGCTTGTATTCCATTTTGTTTACTGTACCATTAACTGTTCAATAACAGAGGTTATTTGGGTGCTTTACAATGCATTTGAAAGGTGGTTCAAATAATGATAACAAAAAGAAAAAGTAAAGAAAAACTACACAGTATAAAACTTATCAGTATTTTATTTATTTATTTATTTAAACCATTTTTATGCCGCCCCATTTGCAAAAAGCCTCGGGGTGGCTTACAACAATAATAAATAAACATAAATAAACAGTTTATACAATTAGAGTTAAAAAACCGGAAAAATCTTGGCATGCACAAAAAACCCCATAAATACAATTCATAAATTAACAATTAAAATAAGTTTTAAATAAAAAGGTCTTGGCCTGGCGCCGAGAAACAAATAAATAATGGGATTTGCCTTAGAGAAACAGTAAAAAGGTTATTTTCCCCTCACATATGTATGTATTTATTAATAAATACCTTGCTGTTGGATAACAGTATGTGCTAATTATCCTAGCCAGTCCCTGGCCACCAAAAGGAAACAGCAACGAGAACATTGCAACGAGAGATGCATAGTGTTGAGGACTGGGGGATTTCAGAGGCAGAGAATGCCAAGGTTTGGGGTACTGGGGGCAGTCAATGACAATACACCTTTATTCAGTTTCTGGTCTTAGGCTCCTGACTCTGTATGCATGTACAAAGACATTCCCGGTCTATCTTGGAAATCATGAAAACATATAGCAGCAGAAGTCGCATCTCTGGTATGTTGGAGCCAGAGTTCTTAGGTTGGGCTTCTCCATTTTATGTGCACCAAGAACAGTGCCCAGGGTGAGCTGCTCTTCAAGGGCACCATGTTGTGTACCCCTAGTCTATACCATGGGTAGAAAGAAGATAGCTTGGGATCAACTATCTTCTTCTAGATCTCTGGGTGGTTTCTGGATGACCAGGGCCTTTCTGACTCCCAGATGCTCAACAACGGCAACAATCAAATGCCTTTTCCATTTAAATTAGACTGGTGAAGAAAATTAGGGGTAGACATTTTTGTGGAAAGAACTGTGAGTTCAACTCATTTTCATATTGAGAACAAATTCCTAGGCTCAGAAAGTACTCAGAGGCATTTTGTCTTTTAAGTACACACCATTTGTACCTGACTTTGCTTGGAGGACATTGGGTTTCCAGCAAAACAAACAAACAAACAAACAAACAAACAAACAAACAAGATCTAACCAGCCAGAAATCTCCCTGCCTGATAGTGTCCCATGATTTCATCTCTGTTTCCTAAGTTCCATGTTTTCCTGCATCTAAACTTGCCAGTCTCTGAAATCAAGGATGCTACAACCAGGCAGTCCAAACCATTTTGAACCCTGTGCTTCAGCCCATTACAAATTTTGTACAGATGGTTATTAATATTTTTGGAGGGATGTTTATTGCTGAGCTCCAGAAAGTAGTAAATTCTATTAAAATGACCTCCTCTCACTCAGACAAGTTTGCTTTATATGTCTGAGTCATATTTCCAGACTCTACTGACAAAAACAAACTTTTACTCCCACCCACTCACTCGCTGCTTGCAATGTTAGGCCTGCAGAATCAACACAGATGGAAAAAGGATGAGAAATTGGACTCAGTTCATGATGATATATGAACTGCCAGTTAAGACCCAAATGATAACTTCTATCATTGGCAATTTCACCCAGAACTCTTGGCTTTCACTCATCTAGACTAGGGAGCATAGGATACTGACTACTTTGAGTAATACTAAACACAGCTGCTTTTCGCTTCCACTGGTTCCGTTGTCCTGTGGCACAGGCCCCTTGCACAGCAGGGCTTTTGCACTTCTTTTGCACCTTTGGTAACTCTAGACTCTAGTGGGAACATTCATTTCTTTACTGGGAGAGATCAGTGGAGTTTCCTTCTGTGAGCTCCGCTGACCTGTCCTGCTTCAGAAACAAATGTCTGAGCTTTTGGGGAGTTATTTTTAGAAGCATGAAAATCTCATTGCACCAGTGGTTGCTTCTGTGAGATTCTACCTGCTACATCAATCTTACTGAGCATTGGCCACCGGTGTAGCAAGCAGCACTGTTCTTTGTCTTTCTAGCCCAGTGGAGTCTATGGTGTCTTTGCAGAGATGCTTCCCCTCTACCTTATCCTTGCAGCTGAAAATGCCAGGGATTGAACTGGAAGCTTTCTGATTACAAATGCTTTGCCACTGAACTGGGATCCCCATCCGAATGCTCATTTGTTCAGCCAATAACCCTCCTCCCCTATATACTGCAGCCACCACAACACAATGGATGAAATGCGAAGTCATGGTTAAGAACTGCATGACTACACTTAGTCTGCTCTCTGGTTCACACACTCCCCTCCCTTCTTCTCCCATGCAGCTGGGAAAGGCGTTTGGAACCTTTCATATCTGCTTCTAGTTAGCCACAAAAATCCTTCTGTTCTCCTTTGCCTTCTCTACTCGGGACTTTGATCATGCTAAAGATGGGATGGCATGTCCTCCTCAGTGCAGATAATTCTCCATTACTATGTTCAGACGTAAGTCACCCTTTCCAAACCTGAGTCCCTCCAGCTGCTTAGATTACACTCTCCATGATCTGTGTCTGTTGGCTGGGGCCAATGGATATTGCAGTTCAAAAGACCTGGTGAGCATCAGATGGTGAAGGCTATGTGAATGTGCCTAGCTTCCTCCCAGGATTACATGTTCTCCACCCTGCCTCTTCCTGCTTAGCTTGGAGGAGGTGCTTATAAGTGCTAACATCTGCTTTTAGTTAGCCACATTTTTTTTTCATTTGGTCTGATCTGATGGTATCATTATATATGGGCACTTTAAGCAAGCAATACCCAGTGTGAAACTGGCTTGTTTTAAACTAACCATAGTTAATACTGACTACAGTTTGGATGATATAACAAACCATGGTTATCTAAAAGAGAAAGCAAAATCCTATGAACTCCTCATAGTTTCCAAAATCACCCCCAAATATACGCAGAGATTCAATCATGAGCTAGATCCAGATTTAGTCATACATAGAGCAGATCATAAGCCAAACTCTGAAGTACAAGTACTCTTCAAGATGGTCTCCCTAGCCTTGCCCCAAATTCCAAAATTCCACAATCCTGAGCAGCTGTGTTCAACCCTGTCATCAAGCCAGTTCTCGCCATTTTATCCACATTGAGAGCAGGCCTTTTTGCAAAGCTGAATGGCCCATTCAAGACCAATGCCCCACAATGCATTACAACAAAAAAACCACTGAGGACATTCCTTCATTCCATCCCCATCCCACCTCCTGTGAGAATTGCAAGCAAGTTCAGGGGAGGCGGCATTCTGAGGGAGGTGGAAGGTGAGGTCAGCATCTCCACTAATTAAAAAGTGCCGGCGTGGTGCCTCTGGGAGTGCCTCCAGTACACCAATGGCAGATCCACTGAAATAAGTGGGTGGGGGGGGGGGCTAGTAAGTCATGACTAGCTGAAGTACCATTGGGTTCAATGGGTCAACTTTAAGTAGAGGAGGCTGGGCTCCAACACATTATCTTTTGGCTTTATCGTCCTGATGGGTAAAACTGTAAACTATCCTTTCCTGGGTATCTAACATTGTATTGCTCTGTTACTTTAAAGGACAGGTTAGAAAGAATGAGTTGGAAGTAACCACCATGAACTTAATTGCTGTTGCCATGGTGTCTGTTTCAGCTAACTGGAAAAACTAGAACCAAAATGAATGCCCTTCTCATTTCAGAATGGCATCCAAGAATTTGGAATAAAACTATCTTTAAAATATTACTACAGAAGGCCATTCCATGAATAACAGATACATATACTTGCAGAGCAGGAAACAATTTAATTTGCTAAGGTTTAGACCAGTACTTTCCCTGATGATATTTGGCCATTATCCCTGATAATATTTGTTTATCCCCCTTTTGATTGCAATATTCTTGAAATATGTAGACATACAGAGAGAGAGGGTGGGAAATTATGGATTATTACACTTCAATAAGGTTTTTGTAAAGTCTGTTGTATTTCCCAGGGTGGGTGGTTGATATGTAAGGCTAAAATGCTGTTTTTACAGAGCTGCTTTTCACTGCATGCATCCACTTTTATCTGCATCCTGTGTGCTATTTTTTCATGACTTTTATCTAAAAATGCAAGGCAACTGTAAAAAGAGAGGAAGAAAATAGAGTGGAATATATTCAGTATCTACCCTTCACGTTCCTTCAGTTCTCTTCCAGCTTCGGCTCTGTGAATGATCACTGCAATGTATCTACTTTGTTTGTACTATTCTCATTACGATATGGAAGAGAAGAGGGATGCTCTGTGAAGCAGTGGGGGCAAAGAGATGGCGGTAGTGCAATGGACTATGTGACATCATGAGGACCAGAGCTACTTTCAGACGACAAGCAAAAGCTTTAAAACATGAAGAGGCATGAACTCTGCTCCAGATCCTGCACCGTAGGATCTTCCCTGCCCTCTGGTGCTATAGAAACACAACCAGGTTCTGTGTACCTCTGCCCTCCCGTTAGGCATTGTTGAAGACTTCTGCCCCGCTTTTCCATGCTATATTCATTTACTTTGCAAACCACCTGTTTTTCACTGATTTAAAAATGCAAAGGGCATTTGTTCTTTAGGGTAATGAATACTTGAAAAGCAGAATGATTGCATCCCACAGAACGCTAGTGGAAAAGTAAAAGAGGTGGCATCAGTGTGTTAGTGGTTGTACACGACTGCAAGAGGAGTGGAGGACCTGGGGCCAGCATCTTCCTTGTGTCCCTCAGAGACCTCAGTGTGCTTCCCAAATATTCGGGAGTCTGAAAGAAAGAAAACCAGCTCCTGTTTTTGAAAACAAATGGCCTGATGAGCTGTTATGGCATCCCCAGAGGGTTAAAATTGGCTTGGCCACTACGGCCCCTTAAAAAATGTCACCACACATCTTTGGCACCAGTGCGGGGGTACCTGAACCCCTTCCTTGGTTGGCCACTCCTGCACTAGCGTGTAGTGGATGGACAAAGATGAACAAATCAGTGCAAACTAAGTAGCTTCATGTGAGATTTAGACTTAAAGGACGTAAAGATTTAGACTCCTTAAAGGGGTTAATTTAATTAATGACTAATTTAAGTTCAACCCAACATATTTAACTAATCAAAACCAGTCCAAATGCCTTTCAGTTCCCTTCAACCTCTTAAAAGGTGACTGGAAGAAAAGAAAAACAGGGAGACATAGGTAGGTATATTAATAATATATGTGCTTTTATCATCTTCTTAAGGACAGTATCAGTTCCAAATCTGTAATAAGGACCAAGTGTAGTGTTATCATAACTTTGTACATTCACCTACCACTCCCATTCATCTCAGTGCTTCTGTTCCTACTGTGTTTGGTCTACATAGTGATCTTACTATCTTGTATCTTGTCATGTATCTTATCTGATGTAGGGACTATGTAAATATGCCCAAGGCAAGCTTACTAAGGCTCACTGTTCTCCACTTTGATGTTCATGCCATGAACTATGCAGTTTTTGTTTTTGTTTTTTGCATAGGAATGCATCCATATTTTTACACACGGTCTCCAGTAGACTAACACATGCCTGCACGTACTTTTAAATCTATGCATTTTAATGTGAATTCTCCCACCATGCACATTTTTAAATAATGGTGTGCATGTTAGATTGCAAGCTCATAAGGATACAGATTAAGCATCACAAATAATGCTCGGGTATGTGTTTGACTCCAGAGGTTAGGAATTGGGTATGCTCATATAAGTTTACAAATGCAGTGAATGCCACCCCCATCTTGAAATTGAAATAAGCTGCCTTGAGTGATGTGTATGCACAAGACGAGTTGAAGACAGAATCCTCAAAAATGGAAATTATCCAGCAGGCCCATTAGCAGAACATTTCCTTTATGAGCAAGTTTACCTGGTGCCAAGAACAGATTCGGCCAAATCTAAAGGTGCATCCAAATTGGCTTTCAAGTGCAGGAAATGGGTGTTTCTCCTACCTGCTGGAACAATGACTCTCCTCTCATTGGTCGTCATGTTGGGAGGAGGAGGACCATTCTTCTCATCCATGTAGGTGCCGTAATTCAAGGGATTGGATTCTGTCCCGGCACCAACCAGCTTATTGCATTTGCTAACACTACAATCCACTGGGGACTCCCTGGAATAAAAACACACAGTAGATCAGCATTAGATCAATACTGCATTGTGTAGTCATTGGTTCTGGTGCAAACCTACCCACCTTGAAAAGTTAAATGGCACATATTCATTAATACCTAAGACATAAGAACCATGGGAGCTTTGTTCACCTACACCTGAGTAGAAGAAATTGGTTGTGTTTTCATTTTATTTTCAGTAAGATAAATTAAGCTTTATGATACCAAAGGGAATGAACTGTGTGGCAAAGCTTAGCATTTATTATTTAATTTCTATACCACCCACAGCTGAAGCTTTGTGTCCACAGCATCTCATTTCCCCTCCAAAAAAAAAAAAAAAACTAAACATAAATTTTTGATTAAAAAACATTTTTATAAACTTTCCATTTTTAAACCTACTTTCTATCTAAACCATATTACAATGCAACATGACATTTTCTTTCTTTTTTTTTTTTTAATAAAGTAGCTTTTACCATCACACATGGCAGCTGAAAAGTAGTTGCAATACAGAATGTTCCTTTTTAGTGCTCCTGCTTTCCTTTCATGCCCTTTTCCAGGACACGTCATTCTTCCTAGTACTTCTTCCCAACAACAGCCACTCGGGGTACAACCCAAAAAAAGTCCTACATACCACCAGAGCATGCTGGGAGTTGTAAGACTTTTGTTCTGTCTAAATATACACAGAATTGCACCCTTCGTGCTCTCTGCCTGCAGAGCGTGGCCAATCCTTATTGCTGGTTGCTTCTGGTGGTCCTTGCCAAAAAGTTTTGTACTTCTGCAAATTCTAGAATGCCTCCAGGACAGCTGCTACTTCTCTCTTGTGCATAGATGGTGCTATTTTGTCTCCATAAAGATTGGCGTTCCGAGGATAGGTTTGCTCACAGTATACAAGAAAATCCTAACGGAGTGTCTAATAAAGTGTATTCTAGGTACTGCACTTTTTTTGAAGAAGAAATACAGATTGTGCTCACAGATTCACAATCTGATAAGCATGATGCAAATACGAAAAATAAATTGGGGGGTCAGTTCAAGGGTCTGTTCTAAGCATGACTAAGTCTGACACAACCACCACATAGCAGCTTTTTGCTCATATTCATGCAATTCTTGACCAATTCAGAAAGCACATGCACAAGTGCACACACACACGGGGGGGGGGGGGATGGGGGAGCTACCCAGTTTTTAATCCAGCCTTGTCCACCATAGACTTGTGGTCTTCAATGGGAAAAAAAGGTGCCACTTCTTCCTCTACGTTTCTTTTATGTCAAGATTCAGATGAGGATTCAGGCAGAAGCTGTATTTCAATATGTAACAATGAACTGTGTGAGTCTGTGTGAGTCTCTTCAGAAGAAAATGCCATTGAGTTTAGTGGGGTTACTCTCAGATAAGTGTGTATAAGATTGTAATCTCGGTGACTGTTAGGGTTCACTATGTGAAGAGATGGAGAGATAAAGTTGATCTTCCTGAGTTAAATGCACATCAGGGTGTGGGTTTATCAACCTCTTTATCTAGCAACATTGCCAACAAAACAACAACATCTCCACAAAAGAGCCCACACATTCTGAAAAAGTGAGAAATGATCTTTGCTCTCATGATGTGCATTGAAACTTCTTCAAGATGTTGATGCAGTCACGATCTGACAACAGAGCTTTGCATGAAAGTATAGATCAGAAGAATTTTGCTCCATTTGACATTTTGTTCTCCGAAACATCCAACACATGATTGGATGTTTGTAGGGTGACAAAGACTGCTGAGATCTAGAGTTGGTTTTCTGGCCTACTCAGTTCAGGCATGTATGTGCATCTCACTCTGTTACGCACTTTCTCCGCTAAAAGTACACTTTTAAATGCCACTTTGTTCTGCAGAGTTCCTTAGACACCCACTCGTATTCATAGAAGACCTGTTCAAACAAACTCCAAATGCCCAAGCCCGCCAATGCTGGCATGCTCACTGGCTCAGCTTCCTCCCTAGTGAACAGGTATTGAGCATTAATGGGAAATGGTGCTGTGCTCATACACCCAGATATGCATAGGACACTTGTGCATAAATGGGATTTTGATTGGCCCAAGATGCCAGCTTGTACCTGTGCCTCTTTCTCATGAATGCTGTAGATTCATCCAGCCAATGCTCATCTCCACTGGATGAATCAGCACTGAGGAAAGAGTCAGAAGAAGTGGTTCCATCCCACTCAGGTATGTTCGGACATATGTGGAAGGAAAGTATCTTATGAACAGCCATGGGTGTTTGCAGGGGGGCAAAGCTGTAGTCTGTGCTTCCTTGTTTTATCATCATTTATCCAGATGCAGTGTGTTGAGTGTTGTTTGTTGTATATGGTTGCTTTGTTTTCTGGTTGTTTGTTTCTTGTAAGCCATCCAGAGACTTTTAGCACTGGGATGGCATCTAAAAACTTTAAATAAAATAATAATAAATAAATAAATTGTGCACATGGCACATAATTGGTGCACTTTTCTTGTGTGTGCTCTCTGTTGCTTAGTGTCTCATTCCATGACATTTAGAAGCCTACACTGAGTAATGAAAGATCCTGGGATCTGAACGACACTAATGAAGGGTGTCATATTCAAGAAGCATGATAGACTCCAACATTTTAAATATGAAAAACAGCTTTAGAAAGTAGCGGTGGAATCTGTGGGGAATGTTTCTGTTGGGAGCAAGAGGGATGGCAGGTTGGGGCCAGTGTTCCCGTGGGGTACGAGCCACATCCCAGGTGCTGATTCACATTTGAGTGACTTATTTTTTATTTATTTAGTTTCTATACTGCCCAATTAGTCAAAATGACTCTCTGAGCAGTTTATGTGATGAAGAATGTCCCAGTAAATTGGGGAGCGGGATATGGCTCAAAGTCCTGAGATACAACAGGGGGCGGAGGTGGAACTGATTAGCTCCAGGGCTGATACTTTGTCACACCAGGCAGATCCTGGGAATGGAATGAACATACAGCCAGTGGGAGGGGACAAGGAGCTTCCAGATGTGGACCAGCTCTGTCCCTCTGAGCTGAACCCTGTGGCAAGGGGCTAGCAGAGGGGAGAGGCCCAGTTGAATGAGCCACCAGGAGCTGGGCTTGCCTTTAGAGTGCCCCTCCCACAGGGTTGGGGCTCAGGCACATTCATAAGGAGAGTTCTTGGAAGTAATCGCTAAATTGGGTGCAACAAACCCCACTGTGCGTGCTCAGAGATTTGGTCTGGATGACTTGTACTAGAGACGGTAAAGAACATCTGTAAGGAAAATGGACTGTGGCTGCTGTTTGTCTGAAGGAGGCACTTTGGCTCCTGGAAGTACTTAGCAGAGGAAGGAGAGATGAGTGTGCATGATCAGGCCAAAGGGATCTAGAAGAACCTGGACTCCTTGATTCCCCCCACCGTACACACACTTTATCAGCCACTTTGAAATGAGCTAACGATACAATTTTTGCAAGGCTTGATCTTTGAACTACAGAAGCAAACTTTTGGAACTGCTTGTTTTTTCTTGCACTGTGCATTTTGTGTATGGTTGCAGTTCTAAAAAGCCCTGATAGCATCAACTGGCAGATCTACCATTTCAGATAAATCTGGTGACTGAGCAGTGATAAAACCTAAACCCTCTGTGCATAATTCTGATATCCAAAGAATATATCTCCACTCCTGGCAGAAATTCTCAGTTCTTTTCATAACTCCTTTCACCCTGTAATAGCCTGCTAGGCCAAAGGTCATTTTAGGGCTAAGGGCATGGTTTGTATTTGGAGCCGGGACTGCTCAACTTGCAGCCACAACTAGATTCTACAAGCAGTGCCTCCTTTTCTTTACTTCTACACTACATTAATGGAAACTTCTGTATGGCAGTTGTCTCAGCTGCAGGGCCAGTACTAAGAGAGAGATGGAATTATACTTGGATCCCTTGTAACAATAAAAAATAGCAAGTTTCCCTAATGTTCTCTCTCTCTCTCCTCCACACACACACACACACACACACACATTCTACAACACATTCCAATTCTTAATAAATTGTACTGCTGCTACAAACCATTTCTTAAAATGTCAATAATATTTGTGATTATACTTGACGAAGAGAAAGGTGAACAAGTGGTTCTTGGATCAAATCAAGGGAGAACTTTCCCTGGAAGCAAAAATAGCAAAACTGGGGCTGCAGTACCTCAGGCACATCATGAGAAGGCAAGACTCACCTGAGATGACAAAAATGAGAGGGAAAGTCAAAGGAAGATTAACTATAAAGGAATTTCATAGACTTTACAAGAACTGTGAAAGCTTGTCATGATCATACATCTCAGAAGGCATTCATTTATGGGGTCCCCATAAGTTGGAGCCAACATACTGGCATGCAATGACAAGAACACCACATAGTTGTCTCATATGACACTAATGCAACCATCCACAAAATGGAATAATATACTGAGTTACTTTGCAGGCTTGAGTTCTCCCCCTTTCTCAGCCGCAGCCTGCCTCACAAAATATAGGTATAATACTGATGAACTTTATCTGTAGACAACAAGGTATTTCAATGGGTATAAACTCAGATTCTTTTTAAATTTGTTACCATTTGATTTTTGGTAGACATGCTACTGCTCAACCCCAGCTACACAAAATTCCTGGATTTTTCTTTTCTGTTTAATGAGGCTGCAATTACTTCCTCAGAGAGGAAAGACTCCCAAAAGTCTTAACATACCCAGCAGGGTTGACTGCCCAGACAGTAGGTGTGTTAATCATTAGGATGACTTCATTTCTTGGGAAAGGGGATTAAAAAGGTAGCAAAGGGTTGGCTGAGAATTGCTCAGCAAAATCTCCTGGGCAGGGAATTCCACATTTCAGGAAGCACCACCTAGACAGTTTTGTCCCAACTACCTGATCATTGTTTCTCAAACTGCAGTAATATGGCAAGCAGATCTCCTCAGCAATCAAGACTGAACAGATGTTCCTAGGAGAGATGCAGGTGAGGGTAGTCCTGCGTCCTACTTTACAAAGGAGAGTCCTCTGTTCCCCTGTTTGAAAAGCTCCCC